ACTCTGCGTCTTTTTGTGTGCATGTTGAAAGTGGCCACAGGTATGATCATGTACAAAATGGTCAAAGGTTACAAAAAGGAAATCCATAGTTTCTGCTTTGTTTGAGGTCCAGGAAATTGGCTCTCTCAAATGTCAAATCTTCAATGCGAATCGATGCCCTCCTATTGCTTTTAAAAGTTTGGTACATAAGCCACTTCATACGTTAAACAAACACTGCCTCACTTTCTGCCTCATTTAATTAGATGTCTGTTCTATAATTCACACTTTCCAAATATTGCTTACTGTTTAATGAAGACAAAAGATACACAAAGATCGTTTTCAAAAGCTTAATCTAATTTGCTACCATCACCTACGGGTTGCTGTTGTGCTGCACGTCCATCACAGCCATTCTGATATCTAGGGAAAACATCCCTATTAATAGTGATATTGCTTTTATGCAGCAGTTACACTGTGTGACTTAGACACACTATTTCCAGTTACTTTGTCTAATTTAGCTTAAAATTAGAAAAAAAACACCCTTTAGTGGTGGTGTGTTCCGTAATGAATCAGTGTTTTGAACAAATCCGTTAAGCTAATGAATCATTGACTTACTCGTAAACACTGTCCCTTGTTTTGTTCCTGGCTAGATTATCGTTTTTGAACTAATTGGTTGAATCAATAATTCAGTGGCTCGTTTATGAAGACAGTTGCTTGTTTCGTTTTTTAATGTATTATCAAGTGTGAAAGAATGTATAACTGATTCATAAAGACAACCTACTGGCTTAACCTGCAAAAAGACTGTTAATGTAAATATATACAGGTCATTTGGATGCTTCCTGTCTCTGATGGAATTACAACTTCGTGTGAACAATTTGTGGCATAAATGCATATACAGCAATTGAAACAAATCGTAAATGTCAAATGTCCATGCTGGCTAAGGTTATGATTTACTTCTGTTTAGACTAACAGAGATGAATTCCAACATATAAACAGAACAGCTGAGAAGCCAGAGTAAACATAACATGATTAAACACAGTAACTTGCTCTAAATCTCAAAATGCCCGTGTGAGTAGCCTGGGAACATACTCCAGATCTCATTCCTTTTAATTAAAGGTTCTCATGATGAACTATCAGGTTGCTTTAATTGGTATTTATGCATGCTGCTTCTGTACTGTTGTCTGTTACGTTTCCCATTATGAAATTATGAACTCCATAAATGGGTTCACATGGTTTTCTGGTTTTGATAAACACACCGAAGCCTGATCATTAACAGTGCATAGTTAAATGTGCATGTTCTTCTCACATTCAGCAAGAATCTGACAGCTGGAGGCTTGGTATTTATATTTATCTGTGCCTGTAAAGCTGCCTCTTAGTTAGAATGAGCTACACCTCCTTCCAGCATCCCATCCCCCTCCCCAATTTGTTCCTGCTAATTAATGAGTGTGGTGCTAATTAAAAGCCAGGCAACACTCAATACATTCTGGGTCCGTGAGAAATATTAACATTTTCATTCGCAGGTCTCCGAGACTAATGAATATACAATTGCAAAATTTCCAAGGAAAATTATAGGGTTGTGAGGAGCATGAAAGTGACAAGAAGACACGTATGTTATATATAGACCTATATTATGAAGAAGAAATGAAAGATTTTACACAGGGAGTCCTGTAACATGACAAGGCCTCATGGAGTAAAGAAAAAATAATTGAACGTTAGAAATAACTGTAGCCTAGTCAATTAAAAGACATCGTCACACCCGGCCGAGACGCGTTTCAGTATTTCATGTTGATAGAACCGAAACACAATGCCATGTGCACAAGTGAGAAAAAAAGCTTTGTATGAAAGAAAAGGCCTCTGCTTCGGCCGTATGCTGAGCAACAGGAAGCCTCCTACTGCGATAAACATGTATCATCTTTCCACATAAATCAAGCCTGTGAACAAAATGTGTGTGCGGGGCGAGATAAAAAGAGGCAAGCAGCCAAAATGTGGTCTCTTGGGTACAGTTCCACACCTCCACCTCTTTCCATCCACTCCCCACATTTTAATTGCCACTGTTTGCCAATTGCCACAGCTCATACTGTGCCCATAATGACTGTTCCTCACAATGCAGCCATAGCACTTGATCTCTCTTTTAATGATCCTCCTTCTGTAAATTTGTACTGCACTACTTTCTTATCTCACAGATCTTTATCAGCTCCACTTGCCTGCGGACACATTAATTGGGGAGTCTTATGCTGATTTCTACTATAGAGCGAGGAGTGATAATTGTTAACATCAGATTGGACAAGGGTGTAAAAAATTATATCACTGTGATGCTATTTATAGTAGACACTGTCAATTATCATTTCTGTGTAAATCATTCGTAAAATCATGCTTATGTAAATTGCCACATTAACAGTTTACGTAAGAATGGTTTTATGAACAATTTACATAGAAATTTGTTCTGCTTGTGTTTCATGAATGAGGCCCAATGAATATTTGTTGCTGTTCGTACGCTTAGGATTTTGGGTTTTGACAATTATTCAATTTCATCAGTTTTCTGTGGTTCTTGTGGTAATAAGGAAAAAATGGAATGATACAGAAAGTAAGTCTGTTTCATGAACACAGCAACACATTTGTAACAGTGCTTATTTTGTACATGACAAAAAGAAAGACAGTTACACTGAAAACAGTTCACTTCAAAGAACTCGAGGCTTGGGAAATGTAGTGAATTATACAATGTATTTAGCCAGAACTGGGACTTTCATTGTTTTTATCACTCTGCTTGTTGTGTTTGCGAGGTACTGACAGACTGTCCATCTGTCCATTAGTGTTGGGAATGAATCCTGCAGATTACAGATTATCGTTATGCCAGTAGGTGGCGACAAGTGCCTGTCTTTAAACAAATTAAATAATTCGTTCAACTGACTCATTGGAAAAAAAATTGAATCATTCTAGAAGAATACAAGCAACGGTCTTTATTAGTGAATCGTTCAATCATTCATTCAACCAATTTATTCAAAACACTGATTCATTTTGGGACAAAACACCACTACTGTTTATGATGCAATGAGTCTACTACGACTTTCAAACTATTGTTGTTGGCGAAGCAAAAACATATTTTCTAAGGGCATTTTCACACCTGGCTTGGTTGGAGCATTTGTTTCTGAACCTGGCGCATTTCTCCCTTGGTTCAATTAATTTTGGCATATATGAACACAGCAATCATACTCGGATTCAAACCAAAATAATCGGCCCAAGATTGCCTGATTGAGGTAGTCTCAGCCCAATTGAAAACTGACTCTAAAGCGGTTGCTTGTGGTAAGAAAGCAATCTGACCCAATGGACCAATGAACCAAGCTATATTATAATTCATAATGTGGGTGAGCACATTTCTTATTTCAGTTGAAAACCAAAGAGCAGCTCTTCTCATGGCTTTTCCTCGAAACAGATGCATTGTAAGAATGCTGTCCAGACGAAGCCTTCATTCTCGCTCTAACTGTGTTTATATATTATATATATATATATATATATATATATATTTATATATTTTATGTAGTATGTATTTATATATCCTTGTTTCAGAACAAAACAAATCATCTACAGGTGTGAAAATGACATGAAAAGTAAGCAATGTCATATGGTAACTATAAATAGCTCAGAGAAAGCTGCTGATGCAAGCAAATGTGCAATATTTATTTATGTTGCATATAATATAAAAAAGAAAAGATTGGGTCTTTAAAATGTATTTATTTTTCAGTTGGAAACTTGGAAACGTACAGCCTAAGCAATATGCAGCATTAAATTGAGCTCCTGATCCTCTGTAAAAGGATGAAATGTGCTGTATAACCAACAAAGGCTTATGCTATCTGCTGAGGCTCGTGCGCATGGCATATGCATGCTCTGTTTGTACTCTGCCATTTAGAGCCAGGGACATTTTTCTTTGTCACATTGCTCTCCTGACTCAACCAGCTGAAAGCGGGATTAGCCTCCAGTGTCTTTGAAAAGTCAAGAAGTGAGGGAAAAATGAGGATAAAGTGATGACAGGATGGAGAGAGGGCGAGGAAGAGCGAGACAGGCAGAAACACATGGGCAGTTACATGAGCAAGAGAGCTGTAGAGAGAGCAAACAGCTTGGCTGGGAGGTACATGGCATACATATTTCATATATAAAAGACAAGCATTTCATTTCCATATTTAGAAAACACCGAGTGAGCTTATTCAAGCAGTAAGGGCTTTGCTGAGGTAGAAAATCAGCAAACTCGCTGTGCCCATGTATTTCCAAATCAATCTACTGGCATCTGCAACAGATGCATGACATGGCACATCTGGGTTTCCCATCTGATTTCCAGAAAACCCTCGAACGTTTTTCACTCTGATTGGCTTATCCACATCTAGAAGTTTCATTGTTATCAAATGCACAGGGCCGAGTCTGGCCCCTGAAAGTGTTTTAATTAGAGTGGTGGAGTGACCAAGGGGTTTAAAGTAATATTCCAGGTTCAATTTAAGTTAAGCTAAATCAATAACACTTGTGGCAGTGTTGATTACCACAAAAATTAATTTCCAGTTGCCTTGATTACAGTTAGGTGTTATTTTAATATTATTCATATACTGTCATAGTATTTATTTATATTTTTAAATAGCTTTGATTTTTATGATAGTTTTCATTTTAAATTTAAACTTCACATAGTTGCCAAGGCAACATTTCTCATTTTTAGTTTTAGATTTTTGTTTGACAATTATTTTTTATTGTCATTGTTTATTTTATTTTATTTCCGCTTTATTTAAAAAAAAAAAACTTTATTTTGATTTAGTTATCTATCAGCTTGCAATGGAAGTAATAGTGCCAGTCCAGAAATGTTAAAATACTCATTATTTCACCAGAATAGCCAAAAAGTTGCTTTTTTTGCCTTTATCCCCACAAGGAACAAGCCAAGTACAGTTCTTAACCCCATGGAGATTTTCCCTAAAATACATGGCTTTAGATAAAAGCATCTGTTAAACTGCTTACTAACTGTCTTTCTTTTTCTTTTTTTTCCAAATCAGGTGTAAAGAGGGTTTCCAGGGCATTCGCTGTGACCAGTTCCTGCCCAAGACTGATTCCATCCTGTCTGACCCAAGTGAGTGCACTTGCAATTTGCTTGAATAAATCAGATGCATGTAAATGCATACATTTTTACTCTGCTGTGTCTGAAGTTAATAGAAAATACCATGTGTACAATCTATGGATTATACAGTCCTTTTGAAATTGTTTTGAAATGGGTGTACAGGGTCACGGATGTGATTAGAGAGAAATGGCTATATAACTTAATCATATAATCAGCTTCTAACCCAAATGAATGCTTAACCTCTGTGGACCATAATGCATTTCTGCATTCATTTGCCAATAACAACAAGGCTTTGCAGTTTGCAGTCTTACAGGCACTGTTGTCATAGAAACCTTGTCATTACTAAAGTGTCACAACATTTTCATATTTTCCTGACAGGAACAGATTTCTTGATTTTCCCACCCACTCAGCTAATGGCTGTATATTCACACGCTTCTACCAAACCTGAATGTCTCTTTTCTGAATGATGTATACCATTTTACCAAATAAGGCAGTGAGTGTGTGCTCTTGCATGCATACACACTGTGTGTATGTGTGTGTGTGTGTACCTGGTATTTATCACGTTATGGGGACCAAATGTCCCCACAACGATAGTAATACTAGTACATTTTGACCTTGTGGGGACATTTTTGAGGTCCCCATGAGGAAACAAGCTTATAAATCATACAGAATGAGTTTTTTTGAGAAAGTAAAAATGCACAAAGTTTCCTGTGAGGGGTAGGTTTAGGGGTAGGGTTGGTGTAGGGCAATAGCACATACAGTTTGTACAGTATAAAAACCATTACGCCTATGGAATGTCCCCATAAAACATGGAAACACAACTGTGTGTGTGTGTGTGTGTGTGTGTGTGTGTGTGTGTATGTGCGCACATGTACAGGTAGTGATTGCATGTTGTGTGCAGTGAGTAAGCCCACTTGATGAGTCACAAATGGAGCATGATTATGAGGGGTTCTGTTTGTTGACCTTCTCGTACAGATCTATCAGTGCCGTTTTATATGAAAGATAATAAAATGAGCTGCTCAAGAATTTGCCATGTGCACAAGGTAATTGGTGAATCCCACCAGCTGAGAATGTAAAGCACACACCCTTTTACTGAACAAAAACCAACGCGTATTCTATACATCCACAATCATATGCCCACATATCACAGGATAACATTCATATTTTATATTCAGAAAAGGTATTAGTACAGCGCATTGATCTGTTTTATCATATACCCCCGGTTTCACAGAGAAGGTTTAAGCCTATTCCCAGACTAAAATGTAAGTCTGATTTTGCACTGATTGACATTTCAGTACCTTTGTTTTGTCTCAAGATGCACCAGTAATGTTTTCTAAGGCACATTTATTAAAAAAAAATGCTTAAATGTCCTAATTGAACAATGGCCTAATCCTGGTTTAGTCTAAGCCCTGTCTGTGAAACCAGGCCAAAAACGTCTCGGTTACGTATGGTAACCCTCGTTCCCTGAAGGGAGGAATGGAGACGTCACGTCGGATGACCGATTAATTGGGATCTCGCTTAGAGAGACTGACCGGGGAAGTCGTGGCCTAATGGTTAGAGAGTCGGACTCGTAACCCAAAGGTTGCGGGTTCGAGTCTCGTACCGGCAGGGATTGTGGGTGGGGGGAGTGAATGTACAGCGCTCTCTCCCACCTTCAATACCACGAGAGGTCAGTGGCGGAAAAAAAAACAAAAGATTCTCCACCCGGCCCTCCTCCGGGGGAGGGAGTGGTGTGTTCACCATCTCCAGAAGAGCAGGTCCCTCCACCTCTGGGTTGCCCGTCTCAGGGCCTCTTGCTCTTTCGCTTGCCACCAGGTTTGGCGGGGGCCTGGACGGGTGGGGCGGCTGCCTTGCGACCGGCTCCACGGCGCAGCTTTGCTGGAGGCCAGCGGTGGCAGTGGGCCGCCCTCGGCGACGGCAGCAGCTGCACGCCGAGGCAGGATGTACCTGATGGCCTCAGTCTGCTTTTGGGCAGCGGAGAACTGCTGGGCAAAGTTCTCCACCGTGTCGCCGAAAAGGCCGGTCTGAGACACGGGGGCATTCAAGAATCGTGTCTTGTCCGTCTTGCGTATGTCAGCCAGACACAGCCACAACGCCGTAGTGTGTAGGCAGAGGCAGCTTCTCCACAGGCCATATAAGCATCGCTGGCCAGTCGAGTACCTACAGACCCGGGAGGGGAGGCACGGTTCTCCCTGCCGGTTGGAGGCGGTATTAGGTCGAGTACCTACTGACCCGGGAGGGGAGGCACGGTTCTCCCTGCCAGTTGGAGGCGGTATTAGGACCGGGTCCACCGGGGGGACCCTTGTAACCCCCTAGCTGCACCACCGTCGAGGGTGGTGAGGAAGGAGGAACCAGCAGATCGGTTTCCAGCAGTAAAAGGTGCTGTCCACGACCTGGTGAGCTCCTCATGCACCTCCGGGAAGAAAGGCACCGAGGCGGGGCACTGAGAACCAGCGCGGACCACCCCGAGAACCAATCGTGCAACCTTGAGGGCTCGGGACACGGTGGAAGTTTCCACTCGAGCCCTACCCCCACGGTGGCCCAGGAAAGCATAGCCGTTATTTCCGGATCCGATGCAGGCATTGCTACAGTCCCGGAGGACAGCGGCGCAGCCGAATCTTCCTCTCCAGAAAGCTCTGGCTCACCCTCCGATGCAGCAATCGACATCTGGTCGTTGGGAGGAGCGCCAAAGGATACGGCTGGTACGCTCCTTGTGGAGGGCCCAGCACGTTCCATTGGCAGCTCAACTGGTTGCGGAGAGCAAGAGGAGTGATGGACCCCCGAGGATTGGTTCCCTGGAGGGTTTGCCAACAGGGGGTAGTGCAGCCTGATGTGTGCAACCCACTTGACACGGGAAACCACCACCGCTGAAGCACCGTACCGCCAACACGAAGAGCTCTCAAAGAGCACGCTGAACTCGTTCAGTCTTTTTCTCTCAGTAGAATAGTCAGGAGCAGAACGATGTGATCGCTCGGCTCCGAAGCGAAAAACTGAATATGCGCTGCATCTTCTGCCTACTTATACTCACGCTTTGATCAGTGGCAGCTGGATGCAATAATCGCATGCCAATGTGCATTGGCTCGTTTAGTTTACACTCGAAGTAGATTGGTCTCTCTAAGCGAGATCCCAATTCGTCGGTCATCCGACATGACGCCGAGAGTGACCGACTGAAAAGGAACTCATATCTCTGCAGATTATAAGATATAGAAAAAAGAAAAAAATATATATATATTGTATTTTCTTTAAGCTTGCATTTCTTTACGCTTCCAATTCTCTAAAGGAATTGCAAAAATCAGGTTACAGTGCAAACGTGCCCAGAAAATCTGCATGGGACAATTTCTCATCTTGTAAGCCTGATTTTGAGCGCTAGGATATGGAGGATGCGGCAAACTGCCACTGACATACTTTACTAGAACTATACAGCATCACTCCATAACTGCAATCCAATTCCAAAAACCTCATTTACATACAAAGGAAGCATGTTTGTGTTGCAAAGAAAGACAATTACTTAATTTAAATACATTGCAGCTCTATCTTAGCATATTTGCCAGTCCTTTAAACAAGGTTGTAGATGGTTTATGAATTATCTGCAGGTTTTTTTGGGTTCGCTTCCAACGAAGTCACCCCATAGCATGATGATACACATTAGTGTGTGTGGCATTGTTCATAAACATAGCATTTTGCTCTGGTCTGTTTCTGTTTCTTCTACTTCACTTGAAGGTTAATGAACAACATTGTAATCTTCTGAATGGCACCCTGACAGAGTTTGGCACGGATTTGCTCTACAAGTCTGCCAAGTCTTAGCCACTTCTTATCACTTTTGGCACAGAGACAAGGAGCCACCTATTGAGCAGACGAAAAATAGAATTAAACACAGCAGAGTAACCAATTTCAGACGTGTCACAACAGCAAATTGTGAATAATGAGCTTACCACTCAATTCAGACAATAATAGCTCTGTTGAAGGAGAATTTAGTGCCGTGACAAATGGCTATTGTGAAATAAAAGCCTATTTTATGTTGGCCAACTAGACACAGCACATTGTTTTATACATGTGACCCTCCACGTACAGGTCACGTACACAGGATGACTTACTGGGCTTTTACAGCTCTTACATTTTCCGTAATCTCACTGGTATCCCTTCTGTTCAGATGGTACGCTTGCCTCTTCAGATTCACACGATCTTCATCAGTTCAGAAACAAAAGTAGACAGGCTTTCAGTGTTTAAAGTTTGAGATGCCAGTAATGGGTTCACTGACAGGACAGGCACACACATAGCCAAAGTCTCTCCTGTGCCGCCGCTCTTAAAAGCAACATTCAGAGAAGACAGGGACACCCAGGGTCACGGTGTCCTTGAGTTACACGGCCAAAGCTTTCATCACACATCTCTCAACCTCTTTCCCTTTCCGTTGTGTCTCTATCCCTCCAACCTCTAGCTGAGTTTCTTCATGGGTAACAATTACAACAATAGCTATACCCTAAATGGATATTTCACCAAAAATGATTTCTGTCACCATTTACTCACCCTCATGCCATTCCAAGCCTGCATGACTTTATTTCTTCTGTCCATGAAATGACAAAACAACATTGGGCCCCTTTTGCTTGTATTGTTATGGAAAAGAAAAAAAAAACACCTCATAATTTTTCAGAATATTTTTTTTTTTTTTTGCATGTGTTTAAAAGTAGAAATAATGTTTTGCAAGTTTAAAGTAAATTATTTTTCAATTTTGGGTGGGTGATCTATTTCTTTAAATATTATTTTTGGGAATTAAGTAATTTACTTTCAATTTTGCTCAATTACATTTTGAAGGACAAAAAGTTATACTATTTAAACTTCATGAAGACCTTATTTCAAAGGTCGAAGTGACTAAAAGTATTCTGGGTTAAATTCAAGTTAAGCTTGAAAAAAAAAAATCTGTGGCCTGTGGGTTATTACCAGAGAACACATTTTTAGCTCATCCCTCAGTTTGTCAAATAGAACAGGAAATGCATTTATAGTAATGCACTTACAGT